AAAAGTCGCCGCCGGCGCCGGTTTCGTCGGATGATGTGTCAACCGGTTATTTGGCGATTTCGTCTTCTCCGGTAAGAATCTTACTTTTCTTTTTTCCCGTTAAAGTTGCGATCTTTGTTCTTATTTCCGGGTAAAGCTAAAGATGCGATCTTTTTTGAACGTGAAGTTATTACAACTTTTTGTTATACACACTCACAAATTATTCCATTTTAACAGTTGCAATAAACAAGAATTGAGAATTCAATTAAAATTTGATACTTTTAGTTCAAATTGTTATCAAATTGATAGATGTCACGCTACTAAACTGTTTCTTTTCAAGTAAAAAAAAATTACATTTCTTTTGGGTTAATTTAAAAAGGAAGCTATGAGAAATTTATAGCTTTGAGTGTTAAATGGTTTAATTAATGCTTGAATTGTTTCGCAGGGGAAAAGAAAAGTGAAGTGGGCAATATTATTATCAATGGTGAGCATGTTACTGGCGAGACACTTACTTTGATTACACGAAACCAAAAAAAAAAAGTTTTAAACTTATTATAAAAGAGGTTTAAATTGAGAGAAAAGTCTTTTGCATTCTTCCACTCGATCTATCTTTCACGGCTATTTTTTGTTATTTTATTACGCTGTAATATTTATTTTTATGTTTAGAAATTCATTTTGCACTTTATGTAGCAAGAGGATCACAATTCACACACTCAATTCACTTCTATATTCCAAATCAATAATATACTCTTATTAGTTATTTTGTTTGTGAGGAATCACTTCGGCCTAATTTTTTATTTTTCTATTTCTGTATACAAACAAACGTACATTTTAGGAAATATTGGAAATGATAAGTTGGAAAGCATTGTTTCCCTAATTAGGCAAAAAAATATAACATGATGTATTGTGGAAATGCTTCAACCCAATAAAAATAGTAGATTATCAATGTATTACTTTTCTGATCCTTATCAAGGAACTATTGTCAAGGTTTCGTTATTAAAATTACATTTCTCAAATAAATAAAAACAATTTCCAACTAATTTTAAAATATTCTTCTTTGAAAGGAAACAAAATAACTTTTTAAAAAAAAATTAGTACTGTGTCAAATCAGTAATATTGGCCATTCACACCAAAATGATATGTTGGCCATTCACACCAAAAATGATATGTTGCAACATTAACTTTGTAAGAACAAGTTGTAATTTGGTAACTACTAAATCTTGAATATCTCAACACATCTAAGAATAACAATATGCCCACTTTATCTCTCAACTCTCCTACC